AAAGGGCCGCAGGTCAGATTTGAACCCAGGCCACTGCAGCAACTCTGTATATGGGTCGCCAGCTCTACCGACTGAGCTAACCAGGCACTCAAATTTAAAGTAATATTATTACTGAAATTTATTCGTAATTAGTTCCTCTACTAGTTAGTGTGGAAAGTAATATTATTACTGTAATATTATCATTCTGCAAAAGGATTTCTTTAGACCTGACTGTTTTTCGGTGTCCCTGTGGCTTCGGGGTTAACTCCGACTATGACAGCAATAAACTGCAACATATGAAAGAAAAACAAATGCATATTTGATATAAACGTTTAAAAATTCAGCATTTATTTTTAAAATTATACAACTATTTTCATCTTAACAATCATTAATCACACACAGTGACCCTGCTTAGAATGCTTTATTATAATAACTCTTCCCAAAATGTACATGAACACATACAATAAAATGCAGAGGTGCGTTCAATAAAGCATACAACATATTCACATTGAAACTGCTGGACATTTAAACTACCAAATAAATACAACAATTATACTGCAAGAAGACAGTAGGTAGCAAAGTTACTAAGGCAATACACCCTGAGATTTTTGTTGTGTTCAAAGCACTGTGGGAAATACTGTTCTAAAAAGAAAGACTGTATTAAATGGGACCTATTATGCTAATTTCTAGCTCTATAGTTCAAAAACATCCTTATTTCTCTTATACTGGCCCTTCATACAGCCCCTCAGTTCATCCTCTGTCTAACCTCCAGCCACTTTAGGTCCAGTCTCTTTAAGGCCACCCTCTCTAAGAGTCAACTTTCTTCTGATTGGCTCATTTTCCGGAAGCCTGCTGAGGGGTAGCAATTATCATCATCATCATAATTATTAGTAATTTCTACTAGTGTAGTTGCTGTTATTGTTGTTGCTGTACACCTTTGCCTCTGTCTGTGTCCTCTCTTTACCATACAGTGACATCATTTTATCTCCATTCAAGTTAGCAAATGGCCAAACTGGAAGTTAGGGCTAAACTGGAAGTTAATGGCTTGGGAGGTGGATGTCTAGTGTGTCTGCTCTATGGGCCATATGATGCAGAAGCATATGAGGAAGATCTTGGTAATTTGTCATGCGCCACTGAGCAGCATTCATATGTAGGAATGACTGAAGTCCGCCGCCAACGCTCAATCCAGTTCTTTTTAATATACTTCTACTTCTACTGAAAAGCTCTTTCTGTGAGACATACTGAACAACCTCTATGTTTACCTCATTATTTGAAACTTTGGCCATGTTTAATATGAACAGTAACTGTAATTGTAGCATAAGGGAAAGCATAATTGAACGCCTTTAAATGACAAACAATCATAATAGACAACATATCTGGTCACATTTTTAGTGCTCTTTATGTGGCGCTGCACTTACTTGAATCAAACAGTGTGACTAATATTGTGCGATTCTTTTCCTTTTTCCAGTTTCTATAGATGCTGCTCTTGGTTCATCTATGGTTACTGGTGCTGTCACCTTACCTTTATCCCAAACAAACCAGAATGTCAAACACACCACTCCTTGTTTGTTCAGTAAATGTAAAAGTTGTTACTGAAAATGACAAGATGGAACACTAAACTCAGTACAGGTGTCATTCTCCACTCTGTAGGACACTGCACTTATATTCTGTTCGGTCATGTCTGACAGGACAGTGCTGGAAGGATGTCACAACAACCTTTCCGGGTGCAGGCTTGCTGGAAATGCAGTCAGTCCCTGGTTCTACAACATACAGGGAGGAGTGCACGGTTTCAGGCCTCAGACAAAGCAGGACACTCTGGTGTCCCAAAGCTGCTGTCTCATCTCTTGTGGAAGCTGGGACTGTGAATGATTTGAGAGAGTTTTCCAAACGAGTCCACTGCGTCCACAGGTTCTTCTGTTTGGGCTGCGCTCTGTCCCGGCTGGTCAGGGACATCCAGTGCAGGGTACAAAGCCTGATCCAAGGTGCTGATCCTGGGTAGAAACTGGGCCAGAGCTGGGACGCCTCTGTCTCGACCCTGCAGTCTCTGCCGGTGGTTTCCCAGACTAAGCAGGGCTCCGTGTCTGTCAGAGACATAGATGTTGTACCCGTCCGGCAAAATCTGCTCTCTGAAGGTGCAGTCATCTCTGCTGTAGGTGTACTGGAAGTGATGGGATATAAAATGTTAATGTTCTTTACATACTGTTTGAGATAGCATTATATCTTAAGTGTTTTGTCTTTGTCAAGATTGAATTACCACCAAACAAAGCATGAAAATGGCCCCAAAAAGACCCAGGTACACTTGTAACAAATTACTTTATATGGTAGCACAGTATCATGGTTTATCTGCTAGCAGCAGACTTTCACCTTTCTATTTTAGCAAATTGGGTCAGTTTGTGGACTTACTTACGTTACATGAGCTTGCTTTAACAATGGGGCAGAAGTCAGGTAAATCCTTGTCTACCTTATTAGCTATGCCTCTTTGGTAATGTATGTGAAAAATCACGTGATCACTTAATTGCTGCTCTTAAAGCTTTCTGCTATACTTATACTTTAAGTTACTTATTAAGGTGATTGCTAGAGGTTTGATAAATACATGTCCTGTTCTTGAGTCCCTACATTTGACCAGTGTGAAGCAATTTATTAATCAACTTTTTACAATATATTGATGATATATGAAATGATTGCCATTCAAGTTAGAAAGTAGCTCAGACTTAGAATTTCAGTTTCCATTAGGGTTGCATGAATGGTGTTTTTAGATAGAAGGCCCCTTTAATTAAAAAAAAACATACGTAAACGGTGCTGCAAGTTCTTCGAACGCTGTTTACTTTGGCCAAAGGGAGCCAGCCAGAGGCCAAGGTTGTTGTTGCTGCTGCTGGGTCTTTTCATTCAGATTTTTCACTTTGCAAACACATCCTACCCTGCACCACACCGTGCAAAGGTTAATGAACCGCTCATCTGTTTGAATGAATGCCTGACTGGCATGCAGTGTTTTCTGAACGTGGAAGCTGATTAACAACATATGCAAAAACCTTAGACAATGATTTTAATGAAATTGACTGTCTCTGCTACATTACAAAGTTTTGCAAAGGTGCAATTTGTCAAAAGATCACCATTGTTTGCTGTTTTAACAATAGTTAACAGTGCGCAATAAGCAGTAACATGGTGACAGTAGTTTATCTATGTATGTATAGAACTCAAAACAGCCAATGTTGATGAACAAAACTAGAAAAAGGCTAAATATATATATATATATATATGTTAATTGCAGCAAATATAAGCTGCAGTAGGTAACCTTTCTAAAAATAAGTTATATTTTACTCATATTTGCTTAAACTTTCACGGTAGCATGCGACAGATAATCTGTAGAAAAAATAGGTTCCTAATAGCATTTGCAAGAATCCACCGGGCCTGAATGAAAAAACCAATCAGAGCCAGAAAAGACACTTTGGGTTAGTGGCATGAAAGTTGATTGTTGTTGTTAATTCCCAGTGTTGGTTTTTAACAACCTGGGAATAAGACTCAATAATCAATTATCTTTCTTGAAAGTTTCAGCAAATATGACAGAAAGTTATTGTTATATATTTTAATATGACTTATTCTATTACGTATAAAAACCTCCAAAAAAGGCCACAGGACTCTCACTGTTACAGCCATGTCCAAGCCGCTCAATCGGCTTCTTCTGCAGAGCTGCTCACATTAAACCTATTGGTAATGTGTTAATTCAGCTGCTAAAAACTCAAATACTAAATAAACAATATAAGATTTGTTTTTACAACAACATCAAACATCCTTATCTAGACATACGGAGTGAACCGCATGACACACTGTTGAGCAAGGTCATGTTCCAAGGGTGGATTTGTAGTTTTATGTTGTTGCCAATGTCAATGTGAATTCTGAATGAAGTATCAGTTTAACTTTGGTGTCTGTACCTTATGTAGCCTTCTAGTTCCTGTTACATGTAGTGCAAAAACAATGGCAGAATAATTATCAGCTAGTAAGCTGCTGTGGTAAATAAATTAAAGTCCAAGGCCATAACCATGAAGAAAGGGGGGGACCTAATTCTGCCAGGGGGGTCTGTGGTCCCCCCGGTAGATTCATAAATGGGGGTGGCTGTGGCTGTGGCTCAGAGGCAGAGGGGGTTGTCCCCCATTCGGAAGGTTGTTGGTTTAATCCCCGGCTCCTCCTGCCACGTGTCGAAG